CCCCCCGTTGACACGGTAGACAAAGATAGCACTGACTGAAGACAATGGCACTTCAATTCGAGACTGGCAGACATCTTTTTCAATCTCTCCACTCTTTCTGCTGATCATCATTTAGTACTTTAGCTTAGTACTTTTTTAGTGCTTTAGTACTCCAGTAGCTGCTGAAGGATAAGAAGAAGAAGAAGAAGCTCATCAAATGTGTAAATCGGCTGTGTAAATGCCACTAATAGCACTTGCCCCCTGCCACCAAAGTGCTGCCTAGCATTTGCTGCGTAAAAAGAACAAAAAAGCCGCTTACTGATGAGCTCTTTTTCTCGCCATCTTTTTCCTCCTTTTCCCCTTTTTTCCATTTTTCCCAACAACAACAACAACAACCACCACATCAGCTGATGGACAGCGGCAAAACCTACCCGACCTCTCTGAAACGTCGAGCAAGCCGATCCGCGTTCAGGTGGGCGACGACATTAACATCGACTGCGTGGTGAAGAACCGCAACAATCTGACCATACTGTGGAAGTACGTCAATGGCACCCAGGATACGCTTATCTCCGCTAACATGGTACAGTAACGGGATAGAGGCATTGCCACACACTTAGCACACTTGTTAGCACTGTGTGTGGTCTTCTGCCCCGCTTCTCATTTGCATGACTTTTTGCTGACTTCTCTTACACTCACTCCAACCGTTCATTAGGTCATCGTCACCGATGACAAGCGAGTGTCCGTCACCCATGACAGTGGTAAGTGTTTGGTGCTTGCTTTTTTTTCATCAACAATACCAGCCAATACCAGCCAGTGGTTAGCTATTAACACCCGAACCGCCATTTTCCCCCTCCCAGCCAGCGAACGGTGGGTGCTGCAGATCAAGTACGCCCGGCTGCAGGACACCGGCATCTACCGGTGTGTGGTGAACTCCAATCCAAACGTCTACGAGACGCGAATGGTCATGGTGAGCGTGAGAAAGACCTACGCTGACGTGCTCAAGGCGGCGACCACCGGCGGCATGGCCGGCGGCAACAGCAATGGCACCACCTCCATCACCGACCGCTCCTTCTACGAGTGCTGCCAGACGGAGGGCGTGCCCATTCTCTGTCGGCCCCTCTGCAACCTCAACGCCATGATCAGCGACCAGACGAAGCCGTACATGTACACCCTCTGCTACAACTACATGGCGCACATCTTCCGCTGCATCGCCGACGGCCGCAATCACCTGCCCTGCTGCCAGCGGCAGCTGGTGCCGACGCTCTGCCAGCCGAGCTGCACCGGGCGGTACTCGCTGGAGAAGGCCCTCGACCACGCCATCTGCCATGAGCACTCCAAGACCATTCTCTTCTGCATTGCCGACGGGCTGCAGGTGCTGCCGGAACAGCCGCAGGACGTCTCCGCGGAGACGGTCAACTTTACCTTTGTAAGTGTGATCGTCGGGTTTTGATGCTATGCAAAAAGGGCAAAATTAAACACCCTTTGTTGGTAGATCTCCCTCAAATGGTCCAGTCCTAAGGAAAGCGTTCCAAGTGGTACGGAGTACAAAATAACCCTCAAAGAGCTGGCCACCTTTGATGAGAACTGGAAGAAGGCAAATGTGACTCTCCGAATAGACCCTCCGAAGATTGAGACGCTTATTGTATCGGGTAATGCGACTGAAAAGCTGCTAGGCCCGTTGAAGAAGAGTACAATGTAAGTTGTGAGGCTATTTTTATGAAAAGGCCTATCTAACTTTATATTACCTAAACAAGGTACGAAATAAAGATGATTGCTCGCAACAAGTTCGGCGNGTAATGCGACTGAAAAGCTGCTAGGCCCGTTGAAGAAGAGTACAATGTAAGTTTTTAAGCTATTTTTAAGAAAAGGCCTATCTAACTTTATACTACCTAAACAAGGTACGAAATAAAGATGATTGCTCGCAACAAGTTCGGCGAAAGTATGCCCACAAATGAGATCCGCGTGGTGACCCATTCACCGCCGTCGCCATCCTCCTCCTCCTCTTCCTCCTCAACATCATCAATGACCGGTGAAGCAGGCGAAGAAGGTAGTAGTGGCAGCTCCTCACGAAAGAAGGTGGTCGACGATCTGGACAACGGCAAAGCCGGCGACCCCGCCCAGGTGCCCAATCTGCGTCGGTGCTGTTCAGCAAAGGGCGTCAAGAGTGATGCCTGTCTGAAGCAGCTCTGTGAGCCCTTTATCATTGAGCCCGTTGAGGTGGAGGAGTCGATCATGTGCATGAAGGTAAGCACTTTTGAGGAAAGCTGTTGTCAGATTAATCTCTCTTTACATCGCAAATTACCTTTTTCTTTCCCCTACCCCCTAGTACATGAACACCTCCTACAAGTGCATTGAAGAAATTCGCGACAACACCGACTACGAGTGAGTGCCCAGTGTTTGTGTTTGTTTGTTTACAGTGATGACTCATTTTTTGTTTGTTTACCCCAGAACCTGCTGCGAGGAGGAGGGCGTCAGCGCCTTCTGCAAGCACTTCTGCTCCGGAAAGACCGCCCTCCTCTACGACTTTCAGTCGCAGTTCCAGTGCCTGCCCTACATGTCCTCCCTCGTCAGCTGCGTCCTCGAGCGCAAGGGCTACGTCACCACCGAGCCGACCTCCGTCGCCGTCTCCAGCGTGCACACCGACTGGGCGCTGGTGATGTGGAAGCCGCCGAAGAAGCAGGCGGACACGGTCACCAAGTACCAGGTCCACTACCGGGAGCTGTCGGAGGAGGCGGACGACTTCTACTTCGTCGAGGTGGCCACCAAGTCGCCCTTCCTCGTGGACAAGCTGCGCTCCAGCACGCGCTACGAGGTCTTCGTCACCGCCGTCAACAAGTACGGCGTCAGTCGCGGCTCGACGCGAATCCTCTTGTAAGTGTTAACCTGATTCAGCTACATCAATAGTTTATTACCAAAAAGGAAATGGTAGTGCAGCAAGAGAGAAGTTTAGAATTAGAATTAGAAATTGGGTGAAAAAGTATTGGAGAGAATAATGGTGTAGCGCAGATGAGAGGAGAAAAGTACGGATAACAGGACTTTAAGGTACTTTAGAAGCAGATATTAGGATGTTTTCTACAGCAGTCACAGCTATCACACGACATCAACATTTAATACACGATCCACCACCCTTTTTTTCTCCCAACACACACCTCAGCAACACCACCTCCGCCGAGCCGGACCCGCTCCTCGACCAGAATCTAGACATGCCCGACACCAGCCTCGGCTACAATGAGACGATGTGCTGCGAGAAGGCGGGCGTCCAGCCGACCTGCCTTCCCCTCTGCGACTACCACCTGAAGATGAAGGACCTCTTCAAGCTGTCGCTCTTCTGCGCCGAGCCGAAGACCGCCCGGTCCATTCTGCGCTGTCTGGCGGGCGGCCGTGACCACCGCCCCTGCTGCGAGCGGCGCGGCATCGACGCCGAGTGCTTCGACCTCTGCAACGGCATGATCACCTTCACCTCGCGGGACGTCGCCGCCAAGTGCTCCAAGTACGACGGCAAGATCTTCCAGTGCATGGCCGAGGGGGCGGACACGCTGCCGGGCATGCCGCTGGCGCTGCACGCCGCCAACATCACCGCCACCTCCATCGGCATCGCCTGGAACCGGTCGCTGGACGAGCTCCCGGTCACCGACCCGACCACCTATCAGATCCGCTACGCCCCCCTGCCCGCCAACACCACCATTCCGCCGCACCCCTTCGACGACAAGTACTCCACGAAGCTCAATGTGAGCAACACCCGCTTCACGCTGACCAACCTGAAGCCGAACACCAGCTACAGCATCTACGTGGTGTCCAGCAACCAGTACGGCAACTCGGCGCCCTCGCAGGTGCTCCTGGTCAGCACTGCCGCCACTGCCGGCACGTCCTCTGAGTCTGTGAACGGCAGCATCACCGCCGCCTCCATTGGGCCGCCGCACGGACTGGAGCTCATTCGAAAGTCCATTACTGTGCTCGTCTTTCGCTGGTCAGAGCCGCACTACTCGGCGCCGGATGTCACTTTTACCTACAATGTAAGTCAATTCAACCAAAGTTTAGTAATTCTATACTCCTAACTACTTTATTTCTCCCTTTTCTTCCTTTTCAGATCTTCTTCCAAAAGGTGAAGACGCTGACCGCCAAGGATCAGCAAAACCCTGGCGGTAACAGCAACAACAACTCGCCGGCCAATCACTCCGCCTGGATCATGATGAACAGCAACACCAATGTGATAGCCATTNGCAACAAAACGCTGGCGGGAACAGCAACAACAACTCGCCGGCCAATCACTCCGCCTGGATCATGATGAACAGCAACACCAATGTGATAGCCATTCAAAATCTGACCCGAAACACGCAGTACGCCATTGCCGTCCGCGCCCGTACCTCCACCGGCCAGCTGAGTCCCATCTCCGAGACGGTGCTCGCCTGGACCGACCCGTCGCTGCCGCTGGAGATCAGCCAGCCCTTCATCCACCCTTTCCCCGTCATCGAGGGCAGCATGGTGACGATTCGCTGCGAGTCCATCGGCTACCCGGTGCCCAACATGACCATCTACATCAACGGCCTGAAGACGAAGAGCGAACGGACGCGCATCGTCCACTACAGCATCGACTACGTGGAGCGCAATCTGACGGCAATCGCCTGCCAGGCGGTCAACGAGGAAAGTCGCCACCCGGTGCAGAGCTTCCGCGAGGTTAATGTTCACTGTAAGCGAAAAAAGGGGATTTATTTATTTGCTCTTCTCAAGTGGATGCTAACCGTTTTTTGTTGCATTCAAACATTTCGCAGTCGCCCCGACGATCACACTGTACAAGGAGACGAAGATTGCGCAGAAGTTCAGCATTGTCATGCTGGAGTGCGAGTTCAGCGGCTACCCGAAGCCGAAGACGCGCTTCCTCAGGGACAACGCCCTGGTCAGTCGCTTCAACAACAGTCGCGTCTTTCCGCATCTCAAGGTATGTGCTGTG